TGACTAAATGTCAAGGGGAACCTTTACCTTACCTAGTGGCTCGTTCTGGTACTGACATAATGAAAATATATTTCATTAGCCAATTCAATATACTCTGCCTCCCTCTACTGGCCAGTTCTGGTAACCTCACCTTTAGAAATACATATTTCTAGGATGTTTCTTTTAATATTTTAAATATTTTCAGACTGTGGATAAGTGAATCAGCAGATATTGATCCCATGAATAAGGGGGTCCTACTGTACATTAAGACAAGACTCACTGGAAAAGACAATATACAGTAGCTAGGAAGTTGAAGGCAGCAGAAAAATAAAAAGACCTAACATGAGATGAATTGACTCAAAAAGGGAGGCTACAGCTCTTAGTTTGTTGGACTGGAACAGGTGGCTATTAATGTGAGAACCTTTTAATAATAAGATAAAAATCCTAGAACTGCAGAGTTGGAAGGGACCCTATGGATCATTGAGTCCACCTATCAAGAAGGCACAATGAGGAATCGAACTCCCAACCTCTGGCTCTGCAGCCGGATGTCTCAACCGCTGAGCTATCCAGCAGTGTCGGAAGATATTAATTCATTGGGTCACCCTAAGTCTGAAGCAACCGGATGGTACGTCACAGCCACCACAATGGGATTCATAGGAATGCCTTCTCGGCAGATCCTCAGTGTTTACACAAGTGCAAACAGAAGAAGGGCAATCATTCCAAGTGTCAAAGTTCTTTGGCCAAGACAACCACATGGTAACAATAAACTGTTGTTACTACTACTTGGCTTTTAGAATAGCAAATGCAAACAAAACAGAAAAAGAGACTCAGGAAGTATGGATTTGTGTGATACTCACAGCATGTAACAGAAAGGCAAGTTTCTCCTGGAAAAGCTGCACCACCCTCTGAATAGGGCACACCAAATCTTCAAACCAGGTCTTGAGGAAGGGTTTAATGCAGGTCTCCAGGTTATTCTGCTGCAACAAACTGAAGAGTTAAACTTCTATGTCATGTGTGCCCGTCCTCCAATGGTGCCAGGAGAAGAAAACTGACCCCTGCACCCACTGAAGCGCCATGTTTTGTTTTATATGGGCTGTTCTGAACTCCCGCCCCAGGTGCAACCAGGGCTTATCCCACATGAGGAGCTGTGCTCCAGAAACACAAGACGTAGAAAGTATTGTGCGGCTGTTTAAATGCCGGAGGGGACATTTCAATTAGTGCTGGTAATGGATGTTGCAAGCAACTCTGACCTCAGCCCTTGCATTTCACAGGCCTGTAAATGCCACCTAGGCTCAAGCACCAGGTTTTAAATGTCACTCTTACAACTGCAGTAGCAACATTTAGAAATGGCAAATTCAAAACCAAAAGAGATTTGTCAATGTGTCTTTCACACAGCACAGTATTACTGGTAAGTTTCCTCCACACAGGCTAAAAATATTTTAACATAAACCAAAACATAAACGTAACAGAAGGAAAGGCAGTCGAAAACTGAAGCCCAGGTTCTCTGCCTAGCTTGCCATGGTGTAATGTATGGGGCTGTGCTGCATATCTCCCCTACATAGCACTTTTTATGTCTATAAAACTAGGACAAAAATTACTGTGTTTCGAAACTGATACACCCCCTGCCTGTTCTACCTTGTCAACAAGAAATGGTAAATGGGACTCAGGCCTGCAGCTCATCCATACATACGGAGCAAGCAGAGGCTGCTCTAACCAAGATCTCTTTTAAGAGTCCCAGGATGCAAAAAGCCAAAAATTATTTTGAAAAATAAATAAATAGTCAGCCTTCCCCACTTCCTCAGCAGGCCCTGACAACCCAAGGAAGGCAAAGATGTGATAAGCAAACCAAGCCAAGCTCTTTTTTCCACGCGTACGGGTGACAGTAAATGAAAGTTGTGAACCCAGACAACTCGCATACATTTTTTTTTCAGCCAGTAAATCCCAATTTGTATTCCTGCAGCATGGACTTTTTTTAAAAAAATAGGCTGGTGAATGGGCTATTTACATAGAATTTAAACATTGTGACCAATATGTTAATATTTATATGCATTGAGCTCCACCTAGCTGTAGAAGCTGCCTTGGGAACAGAAGATAATATAGAGGAAGTACAGAATACATTGAATCTGTTCTTATTTGAGGGTTTTTCTCAACTTATTGTCTTTTTTAAAAAAGACTATCATTTACAAACAGACAAAATAGTTGAAATCCTGTTGGTTAGCACAGGAAGTTGCAACTGCAGTAGGCCCACTAATCAGTGGAACGTACAGTATTGCTGACATACCAAATCCTCACTGATTCAGTTGGTCTACTCTAGCTGTTATTTACTACACTAAGCAACAGGATTTCAGCCAACATGTAATAAAACAGTCATCTTAATTCTTTTGGTAGCAGCAATCAACATTTACCTCTGAATCTAGGTTAATCTTCATGTCTTGAACATATCTGTCAAGCTCAAGTCTGAAAGTAAGCTCTTAAGGAAATAAGCCATACATCTGCTTAGGCTTGTATTTATACTTTTTATACTGAGGTGACAACTACGTAACTCAGTTGTATGTTTTTGAGCTACTCATTTATATTATAGATTTTAGAACCATTCTAGAAAATTATGAGCATGCGCTCCAAATGCCATTTAATTCAATAAACCATTGAATACATGGAACAGCTAACATCTTCAACTGTAAGCCATAAGAAGCATTTTAAACTAAGCCATGTGCATTCCTAAAATTTGGAGAGTTTTTCAGAAAAATTGACACCGAGAAATAATTTTCGACTTTGCAGACAATTTTTGGCCTTATAATAACCAACAGCCTACAAAACAACCCTCTATTTAACTCAGCAAAAATAATATCTTTGGACTTCGCTTATCCTTTACCTTCATCCTAGTTTTCAATACATTTTTCTCAACTGATTTTCCAATATAGTCCTGGAATCTTGAGTCCTGTAAACTTACTTTGGATTATAATTTTTTTTGTTTCCAGTCACTTTTAGAACATACCAAACCCAATACAAGACTAGGACTCTCAGCATTCTGAAGGAAAGAACAGGGAACACATTTGCCCAGTGGGCTATACAGTGGCCAGGAATTACAAGCCAAGATGGTTTTTCAAATCTTTCAGCCTGTCTTCCCATGCATACTTGCAAATACCTGTATAGCAAAAGGATATAGCTCAAGCCCCTTCTCAGAGCCTCCCAAAAAACAGATCACATAGTCTAGCAGATTGTTGCTCGACTCTGGGCTTGCTGTATCTGAAGATTTTTCCAGCTGGAACAGGCAATAATAACAACCAAGTCGACCTTCTGGTACACTGAAAGAGGAACAATGAATTAATCACATAGTTAAACTGTATTCTGTATTTGACACTACAATCTGTATTATTGATCACATTATATACTGAGCACTTTAAAAAAAATCGATAAGCTTCAGAAGATGGAGTGAGCTTCTCATTCCAGCTAATCACACTAGCACCCATTCTGCTTCCATTCACTTTGTCATCCTATGCATTAGACCTCCTAATATCTCCATTGTATTGCAATGCTGCTGGAGGACATCAGGCTGATAGAGTCTGAAGTTGTGTTTACAAGAGGTAACTGCACTCTAATCCTTCCTTGTTCACATGCTTTTTTAAAAAAAAAAGCTTGTCAGGATTAAAGGCAGTGAGTGACAGATGCTCAAGGGGAATCTCCTTTCTGAGCAGTTGAAACAGATAGCATAGATAAGATGGGAAGGGTGGAGTACATGGAATGGCTCATCATCCATACTGCAAGTAGGGGTGATTCATTTCACCCTCAAGTCCTGATTTGTGCAACATTTAGTTGATGAACAGACTAAATATCCCTACGATCAACTAGAAAAGCATCCTTGATTAATCAGGTTACGTATTTTTTTAATATTAATGACTGTTTATGTACTTTAAAAATGATAAAAACCAAGGACTGCCTTAGAAGAGGAATTTCTCCTTTCAGCTGTATACCTGCTTACATGGCAGTAAGTCCCTCTGAACTCATTCCGACCTGCTTCTATCACACAAGAGAGAATGTCTGTTCAAAACATCATCTGTTGTATCATTTACACACGCAATCTTAAAAAACAAAGTGTCTTCCCCTTCAAAGCAGTTTGATTTGGACTGCAATCCTTCAGCCACTTGGGAGTAAGCCCCACTGTGCTTCATGGGACAGACATGCGAGTCAACATATACAGACTGTCCTTCTAGTGGATTAAAACCCATTTGAAGGATGCAACTTTATGCAGCTCAGGGGTCACCAGGTGCTGCACACTCCCTACCTGGGGACAAGAGAGAGATCTCTTTGCTGGTGGGGTTGGAAACTCTGCTGCATCACATGAGATTGGGGTGAAAACGGGGATTTCCAGATGCAAAGTTTTCTCACTTCCCAACATGCCCAAGCTCCTTCCCTCTCCCTCTCCTTCTCTCTTCAGTGTCAATGGAAGGGAACTTTTTTAAATAGGTTAAATCCAAGGGAGTGGATACCGATCTCCACACTTTCTGCTTGGCCAACAGCAAGCCAGAGGGCTTAGGAAAATGGGGCTTACTCTAGAAAATGACCCCGGACATGCTCTCAAGTTTGACAACATATAAAAATATTACTGACTAATGGGTAAATCCAAGACCAGGTACTGTATTATCAGCTTACCTGGAACAATGAATTAACTGATCAATTATGTGCTGTCACTTCCAACTTATGCCAACCCACTTATATTAATCAGATTTAACTCAGTTGAAATTAATCAGATATAAATTGGTAATTTGTGACTAACAAATCATATTTATTGTAACAGGTCTAAGTGTGGATAAGACTAACATTCAACTTGTCCCTTAAGTTTAGAAACACACACTCTGTCTAGTTTGCAATCACCAAATGTACAGGCTCCTTTTTACTGTTTTAGTAAGCTCTAACTTTCAACAAGGTAATTAAAATGTGAGTCATGTTTTGTGTACACTAATTCCTTCTACACATGCTACACATGGCACCCTGATTGACAAGAAAATAGTAATTGGGTAGTGGAAGGCAAGCTGCTCCCAATCTCACATTTTTCATTGACAAAGAAAGCTTTCAAAGAACCTAAAGAAATATTTCCCCCAGAAATCTCAAAATATTAGACAAACAGGAAATTTCAAAAATAAATAACATTTTTCAGTAATGCTATCAAAGCAAAACTTTAGTTTGCTTTTCCTGTAACTTTTGTTCCACATAAATTAGCCCAGGACATTAATTATATTAAGATATAGTTACAGTTCTGTGTCAATTCACATGTAATCCAGGTGGGGGATTAATTAAGTAGCTGATAATACCTTCCTGTGACAATTTCGTGGAGTAAGCCCCGTTTTGCTTAGAGTAAATGTATCATAATTAATAAATTTAATATTCATTTATTTTGTATAATGCATGTGAGAGTTGATGTGCAACTTTCACCAAAAAAAGCAAAGTGTGCTGCTTATATATCTCCCCATAACATTTAAAGCACTCTTTGGGTAGTTTACAAGTTAATTATGCAGGCTACACATTGCCCCCCCCGAGAGCTGGGTACTCATTTTACTGACCTTGGAAGAATAGAAGACTGAGTGAACCTTGAGCCAGCTACCTGGGATCCAACCTGAGTCATGAGCACTGTTTTGGCTGCAGTACAGCAGTTTAAGCACTGTGCCACAGGGCTCCTATATACGGTACATATGGTTCATATATCCATGGTTTCAAGGATCCATGGTTGATTGTGGAATCAATTCCCCATGGGGGTACTATTGTATTTTTAATTACCTGTAGGAAGTCACATGTACAGGAGGCCCACTGAAGCAATGGCAGTTATGGAGAAGCATACCAAATGCCCACTAAGTCAATGGACCTACTTCAGCAGTACTTCTGCTTACTATGCTAAAGGAACAGGATTTCAGCCCATGGATGAGATAATAGCAGAAAAATTGCAACTTCTGTAATCCTATTGCCTTAGTCGATATTTGATGAGTCAGCTCCTCAATAAGTTCCATTGATCCAACAGTTGCAACTTAATGCTAGATTTCAGCCACAGTGTTCTACGTTTCTTCAAGCTACAAATGATACCTAAGGAAGTTAAGAAGGTGCAAAATTTCTTAATACTCTTCATAAGTAAAAAAACAGCCTCCCCTTATTTTCAGGCACAAGTTGAAAATGCAGCTATGTTTAATGTCATTCAGTCAAGTACATAAGTTATGGATAACATAGATGCCATGTGCTGGCTCAAATCCTGTTGGCATAAATTAACACCAAGCAAGCTGTATGATGCCAACATCCAGCAACAGATCCAGTAGAACCCCAGTATCCATGGTTTCAATTTCCCATTGTTTACTACAGTCCTATCCATAACATACCTTGTGCCCTTTGTCCCACGTCCTTGTATGTTAGATACATAGGATTCATATATCCATCGTTTCAGGGATCCATGGTTGATTGACCCACTTATATTAATCAGATTTAACTCAGGTGAAATTAATCAGATATAAATTGGTTATTTGTGACTAACAAATCACATTTATTGTAACAGGTCTAAGTGGATATGGGGGTCCTACTGTATTTTTAACTTCCCATCCCTCCCTCCATCAGGTTCTGAGACTTTCTATAGAGATTTAGCCTTGAGAAGCCTCTGGGAACCTCGGGATGGGGGAAGGGAGATCATGAATACTGGAAAACTGCCACCACTCCCTCCTCTCGCATCAAGTGGGAATGAAAGGAGGAGGAAGAGATTGCTGCTTTTGGTGCTAGACCCCTGACAACCATGATAAGTAGTTCAACTCAGAAGACTACCTCACCTCCTAGAAGGACTCAACACACCTGTGCACTCTTACCTCAGTTCCACACCAACAACATTGCCCATCCCTTCGAAAAAGGGTCCCTTCACAAGATGCTTGGCAATACCACTGCGTAGCTCCATCTCTGCTTCAGCAGGCAAGTTAGTGTCCACCAAAGAGAGGCTTTTATGCATTAAGAAAGAAAAACAAACATATTTGAGTAAAAGAAGGCTTATAACAAATTATTTCACCAATACCATTACCAAAACCAGCCTGTCTGTAACTGGGATTGCTTGCAAGGAATTCCAACGGAAAAAAGTTCACCTTCCAACTTAGCAGGTGGCTTCAGACTCTACCACTGTGTTTATTTATAAAAACACTTTTTGTATTAAGTCCAAGAATTATAACAGGTCATCCGTCCATCCCTCCTTCCTTCCTAATATTTTACCCCGCCTTTCTTGTTGAAAAAGGACCCAAGGTGGCTTACAATGAAAGACAATATTTAAAGTTGAAAGCAATGAACATACAAATGGTGGTTTACAACATTAAAAGACAATATGTAGAACTATCCACAATGAATAAGGAGGCATCTTACAACATCAGCAGGCAATATTAAGGTAAAGATCAATAAGTATACAGAAAAGTCATTCTGAGAAATGGAAAATACAAAAACAGAAAACACAGGTAGAACGGAAAATACAAAAACAGAAAACACAAGTAGAACAAAAATCCACTCAAAACAATAATGTATAACAATCTATCTAAAAATCACATGCAAAAAACAATAATGTATAACAATCTATCTAAAGATCACATGCAGATAGCTGGTTTACTGAGGGAAGATAAAGGTATTTCTTTGCCCGCTTGCGGAAGAATAGCAAAGATGGGGCCAGCATGGCCTCCAGTAGGAGAGAGTTCCAAAGTATGGGAGCAGCAACAGAGCAGGTCCTCTCCCGTGTCCCCATCAGATGCATCTGTGAAAGTGGCAAGACTGAGAGACAGGCCTCTTCTGATTATCTTAACACTGGAGCCGGCTCATAATGAGAGATATGGTCTTTGAGATAGCTTGGGCCCAGGCCATTTAGGGCTTTGTAGGTCAAAACCAGCACTTTACATTGTATCCAGTAACTGATCAGCAGCTAGTAGAGCTGCTGTAACGGGCTATGTGATTCCTGTAACCAACCCCAGGCAGCCAGTGGAGCTGCTGTAACAGGGGCTATGCGATTCCTGTAACCAACCCCAAACAGCAATCTGGCTGCTGCAAATGGAAAGTGTTCTCTGACACTTTCCATTTGCAGCCCCATATTGAGTGCATTACAGTAGTCCATCCAGGAAGTAACTAGGGCATGTATCACAGTGGCCAGAGTAGAACTCTCAAGAAACAGACACAGCTGGGACACTAGTTTTAGTTGCAAAAATACACTTCTGGCCACTGCTGAGACTTGGGTATCCAGGTTCAAGGTTGAATCTAGGAGCACTCCCAAGCGGTGCACCTGTTTTTTCAATGGGAGTGTAATCCCATCCAGTACAGGGTGCATCTCTATTCCTTGATCTGCCTTTTGACTGACCGGAAGCACCTCTGTTTTGTCTGGATTAAGTTTTAATTTATTCACCCTCATTCACTCTATTACTGATACCAAACACTGATTTAGAGTCGAACTAGCTTCCTCGAATTTAGGTGCCAAGGAGTTGGGTGACATCCGCATACTGGTAACACTGAGCCTCAAAACTCTGGGTAATCTCTCCAAGTGGTTTCATGCAGATGTTAAATAACACAGGAGACAAAACAGAACCCTGAGGAACTCCACAGGTCAGTGGACAGGGTTTTAAACAGGAGTCTCCCAGCACTACCTTCTCTCTTCCAGGAAGGACTGGAGCCACCCTAAAACTGTGCCCCCAAGTCCCATTCCAGAAGGACGGGTCAGGAAGATACTGACGTCGATAGTATCGAAAGCCAATGAGAGGTCCAGAAAAACAAACAGGGACACAGATCCCCTATACGGTTCCCATTTTAGGTCATCTACCAAGGCGACCAAAGCCGTCTCTGTCCCATACCCAGGCCTGAAACCAGATTGAAATGGGTCTAGATACTCTGTTTGATTCAAGAACCTCTGGAGCTGAGAAGTTACAACTTGCTCTAGTATCTTTCCCAAGAATGGGATACTTGTCAATAATTATTCAGTATTGTGGGGTCCAAAGAGGGCTTTTTTAACCATCATCTTACTATTGCCTCCTTTAAGCATGATGGAATCCTACCCTGTTGCAAGGAGGCATTCACCAATCGTCCTACCCAATCAACCAGTCCCTTTCTGGCAGCTTTTATGAGCCAGGAAGGGCAAGGATCCAACAGGCACGTGGTAACTCTCATCTCCCCAAGTATCCTGACCCATCAGGCTGCAGCAACTGAAACACGTCCATTAACACAGGGGGAGCAGAGGGCACAGTTTCATTCACAGGACCTGAAAAGGTTGCAGTATCCAAGTCAGCGAGGATCTGAGCAATTTTGCCTGCAAAGTGTCCTGCAAATTTTTCACAGCGAGCTACAGTGTGGTTTGCATTAGCTACCTGGGGGCTAGCATGTAGCAGGACCCTGACCATTCAAAAAAGCTCCACTGGCCAATTCCATGCAGATGGCAGAGAATAATGTCTTCTTTGCTGCTACCACTGACATGGAATAAGCCTTCCAATGGACTCAGATCTTTTTTTTAAAATCAGATTCACTCAGTTTTTTGCCATCATCACTCATAAAATAAATTCCCCCAAGCTTCTACTCCATAATGTAAGGATTCCTGTTTTCCTTTCTTCTACCTCTTCACATGTTGGAAGTCCTCCAATGAGGCCCATCACTACTAAAAATAAAAAGAAAGCCTTGCACCCTTTTTAGGATGGTACCTGGTTTTGGACCTCCAGACATTTAAGGATACAAATCTGAATTCACACATCACCCAGTTAATGTCTTGGGCCATGCTGGCATACCTGAAATCATCAGAAGATGGAGTTCCAGCTGAGGTACTGCTTGGACTCCCATCATCACTGTCAACTCCCTGGGGCAACCTGAGAAAGTCAAACCATTTTTGAAACACCATATGCACATACAATAGTCCTTTAAAAGGATCTGGGTTACTCACGGTTGGGAACCACTGTTATAGTCACTTTCCCCCATGCTCTAATCATACCACAGAACAACTGTGCAAGAACTAAATGACGCTAATGACATTTGGCCCTAGTTTCGCTAATTTTAATAAAATGTTGACGTTAGGATTATGTATTCTGCTATCTGAGTTTAGTAGCTCAAGGTGCAAAGATCCTTGTCACCTGCTTTTAAACCACTTTTAAAAAAAACAAAAAACACGAGGGCAAATTAAAGGAGGAGCGGGGTTGTTGGCAAATCCTTAGCCACAACAGCCGAAACAAAGCCTCCAGGCACAAAGGCAGGGTGTATCTCTGAATGGCAGATCCTGGGCGGAGGTTCCTGAGAAGTCGCTAACATCTGGTTGCAGAAATTAAGCTGAATTTGGCAAGATCCAGTAATGCATGAAAGCGGGTTCTTACGAGCTTGTGGGACAAAGGAGGACAAGGAAACCAGAAGTGTAAAATAAGGATTCATGCCTGGCAAGACCCAGGATATTTGGGAAGGGCGGGCTGGCGTCTCTTGATGGATCAGAGCGGAGACACGTAGCCCGGCGAGAGACCCAGCGGGAAAGCCTAGCCGCCGCCGCCCCCACCCATCCTCACCGGCATCCCTGGTAGCCGTAAAGGCAGTAGTAGCTGTTGCTGCTGCTGCTGCTGCTGCGCTCCGGTTTCCGTTCCTCCGGGAAGCCGCTCCCCTCCTCGCTGCTTTCCAACTCCTTCTCGTCCCCATCCACGGACTCCTGAAGGGAAGGCAGCATCTTTGCTCTTGGCCGGGCGTCAGGAACAGCCGCACCGCCCCTCCCGCTCCTCCCCCCCCCCGGGGCCGTGTACAGGGAGTGCAACACCGTATTCTCCTCCGTGCCTCCACTTCGCCCTGCCCAAGCGTTCCGACCCCCGCCATGCTACAGCCAGTGCCCAGGGCCCGCAGGTGGCACAACGAAGACGTCTCCTCTTGCTGCTTGTTCAATAGTATTCACTTCTACGCCTTTGTTCTTTAAGGGCGTTTCCGAGATTCAATCCAAGCCAAAATATTCAATGCAGAATATTGTTTTAGAAGGAAAACCGTATTAGTCTGTTGCAAACGGGAAGGGGGAGAGGGGGAAAAAGGGTTGTAGCACCTTCTGAAGAAGCATACAGTATGCCAAATACTTGTTAATCTTTAAGGCGCCATGAGACTCTTTATTGTTTTGGTTTGAACAGAATTTTATTCCTATGGAAATTAATGGAGTCATGAGTATCTTGACTTGCTGGTGTCCACAGGCCCCACTGTAATTCACAGTAGAATCAGATCTACTCAAAAGTTCCACTGCATTCAATGGAGTTACTCCTAGGAAAGTTGTAATCTCTCTGGACCTATCTCTAATTCAGGCTACATTACAACTCACTTACATGAGAGTTAGTCCCACTGAACACAATTGGAAGCAAGTAGGTGAACGTTTGGGCTGCCAAGTTCCATTTAATTTTTGTTCTGTTTCATTTGCAGTGTAAGCTTACTCATACTAGTCACCCCAAATCTGATTTCTGAAATCAACCCTAAGTAAAGGTAAAGGTTCCCCTTGACATTTAGTCCAGTCGTGTCCAACTCTAGGGCGCGGTGCTCAGCCCTGTTTCCAAGTCGTAGAGTTTCCAAGTCCGGGAGACAGTGTTTGTCAGTAGACAGTTTCCGTAGTCACGTGGCCAGCGCGACTTAGTCACGGAACGTTGTTACCTTCCCACTGTGGTGGTACCTATTTATCTACTCACATTTACATGCTTTCAAACTGCTAGGTTGGCAGGAGCTAGGACAAGCAACGGGAGCTCACTCTGTCGTGTGGATTCAATCTTACGACTGCTGGTCTTCCGACACTGCAGCACAGAGGCTTCTGCGGTTTAACCCGCAGCGCCGCCACCTCCCTTTTATCAACCCTATTGAATTCAATTGTTGTTGTTTAGTCATGTCCGATTCTTCATGACCCCATGGACCACACCAGAGCACACCAGGCCCTCCTGTCTTCCACTGCCTCCCGGAGTTGGGTCAAAGTCATGTTGGTAGCTTCGATGACACTGTCCAACCATCTTGTCCTCTGTCGTCCCCTTCTCTTGCCTTCACTCTTTCCCTACATTAGGGTCTTTTCTAGGGAGTCTTCTCATGAGATGGCCAAAGTATTGGAGCCTCAGCTTCAGGATCTGTCCTTCCAGTGAGCACTCAGGGTTGATTTCCTTCAAAATGGATAGGTTTGTTCTCTTTGCAGTCCAGGGGACCCTCAAGAGTCTCCTCCAGCACCACAATTCAAAAGCAGCAATTCTTTGGTGGTCAGCCTTCTTTATGGTCCAGCTCTCACTTCCATACATTGCGACTGGAAAAACCATAGCTTTGACTATGCAGACCTTTGTCAGCAAGGTGATTTTTCTGCTTTTGAAAATGCTGTCGAGGTTTGTCATCGCTTTCCTCCTAAGAAGCAAGCATCTTTTAATTTCGTGGCTGCTGTCCCCATCTGCAGTGATCATGGAGCCCAAGAAAGTAAAATCTGTCACTGCCTCCATATCTTCCTGTTAACCCCGAAAATCCAAAAGCGGTGTATGAAGTGAGATACAATAATAATAAAATGCTTATTTGTTAACCCCAGAATGGCCAGCCTTCATTCCCCTTCTATTTCCCAGGAGGTGATGGGACCATTGGCCATGATCTTAGTTTTTTTGATGTTCAGGCCATTTTTGGTGCTCTCCTCTTTCACCCTCATTAAGAGGTTCTTTAAGTCCTCCTCACTTTCTGCCATCAGAGTGGTATCATCTGCATATCTGAGGTTGTTGATATTTCTTCCGGCAATCTTAATACCGGATTCATCCAGTTCAGCCTTTCACATGATGTATTCTGCATATAAGTTAAATAAGCAGGGAGACAATATACAGCCTTGACGTATTCCTTTCCCCATTGTGAACCAATCAGTTGTTCCATAGTTCTAACTGTCGTAGGTCAACACAACCTACTAAATAAAACTGTTACAGGATTTTGGTGTGTAAACTGCAAAATAAGGTTTAAAATTTTGTGCTTCAAACACTTCAGAGGTAAAATTTGAAACCTGTACTTCTAACCTATATCTGCAAGAGGTATTTTGAATCTTGATTGCTACCAAGGAGCCTGGCATGGACATCTGATCATAATTATTGATCCTTCTGGTGTTTTTTTTTTCTGTAGCACATACAAATCTGTGGTACTCAGCCTGCTGAAGATCTTCAGAGTTTGAAAGCTAAATTATGGTTGTAATTTTTAGTGGTGCAATAAATGCTGACAGAAAAAAAACAATTAATTTGAAATATGGTACTGGAGGGGAGCTTTGTGGATAGAGTGGAGGGCCAAAAAGATGTGTTAACCTTGAAATTTGAGCTAATCTCCAGCAGAGGATCAAACAGAGCCAGTTGTAATACAACACGATTTTATTGAGCAAACAAAATATGCCAAGACAGCTGGGGCTCCTCTCATGAAGAGTGAGAAGGCCCCAAGCATACATTGGTCATTGAGCTAATCTCCAGCAGAGGATCAGACAGAGCCAGCTGTAATACAACACGATTTTATTGAGAAAACAAAATATGCCAAAACAGACAGATGGGGCTCCTCTCATGAAGAGTGAGAAGGCCCCAAACATACATTGGTCAGATGCATATATAATATTTACAATTAGGGAGTAATAAACTCCAAAACCTTGATTGGGCTTAATCTGCAACATGTTTGAATCCTTGCCCTAATTGGTGTTAGGACAGTTATCTCGTGACCTATTGGTTCTTGATAGGGAATGGAGAATGATGGATCTCTCCCCCCCCCATGCAACATGTTTGGATCCTTGCCCTAATTGGTGTCAGGACAGTATCTCGTGACCTATTGGTTCTTGACAGGGAATGGAGAATGATGGATCCCCCCCCCCTTTGTAGGTCTAATTTCCAGACATCCTGGCACCCCAGATATGTATTCTGTCTCTACATGTTGATGTTGCTCTTTCTGAAGACTGAGGATGTGTTGTGTTGTAAATGGGCCTCTACACACCTCCCCTGTAACATCTTACAACCTTCCAATGTGTTTGAAGGTCAGGCAGGCCTTATCTGTTTCTAGGAGTGGAAGTCAGCTAAAGTTACCCCTTTGTAGGTCTAATTTCCAGACATCCTGGCACCCCAGATATGTATTCTGTCTCTACATGTTGATGTTGCTCTTTCTGAAGACTGAGGATGTGTTGTGTTGTAAATGGGCCTCTTCACACCTCCCCTGTAACATCTTACAACATTCCAATGTGTCTGGAGGTCAGGCAGGCCTTATCTGTTTCTAGGAGTGGAAGTCAGCTAAAGTTAGCTACATTTGGCACAATGTTACTATGTATGTGCTTTATGTTTTCACTACTTTTCTTTATTCAATACCTACTCACCATCAGATGAACTAGTGCATCCTAGGTCAATTCAAGCCTAAACTATATTGGGAGATAAAATGATGAAACTGAGGCTGTTCTACTTTGAGCACATCATGAAAAGGAGGATTCTCTGGAAACAATAACAATACAGTAGTACAGTACTGGGAAATGTGGAAAGCAGAGCAGGAAAAGAGGAAGATCCACAATGAGATGAATTGACTCCCTAAAATAGTGGTTCTTAACCTTGGGTTATTCAGGTGTTTTTGGACTGCAACTCCCAGAAGCCTTCACCACTAGCTCTGCTGGCTGGGGTTTTTGGGAGTTGCAGTTCAAAAACACCTGAGTAACCCAAGGTTAAAAACCACTGCCCTAAAAGAATCCACAGATTTGAGTTTACAAGAGCTGAGCAAGGCTGTTGAAGGCAGGCCATTTCGGAACTTGCTTGTTCATGAGATCCCCTTCAAGCTTGAAGGCATGTAACAACGATAAATTTATCATCCATTTTTGCTTCCAAAATTTGCATGAAGAGACACTGCTTTGTTTTTTGTTGGAGAAATAAATCCCACCAAACACAGTAGAGGCGATTTCCAAATAAATAATATTTAGGAACAGGATGCAGGCTAAATTGTATTTGCCGAAGATTGCTCTGAAGCAGCTGGGAAACCGACAGCTTAACTGAACTCAGCGCTAAACCCTGCCTTATAATGAATACAAGGCAAGAGAGCTTGACTGCACGGCCAAGTATTGCCGCGCTGCACGCCGGGTACTCTCACGCAAGGGTGGGAGGGAGGAGAGCAGCGCATGACGGAACAATGCGTGACGTTTCTCCTAGCGAACCGCGCGCCCGCGCATTGCATTCTTGGAAGCCCAGGGTTCGGCCATTTTATGTCTGCCTGAGGACAGCGTTGGCGAGGGTCTGGTGCGGGTTGCGCGTTGTCGACGTTTGTAGTTTCGCTCATTGAGCCGTCGTCATGGGAAGGAAGAAGAAGAAGCAGCTGAAGCCTTGGTGCTGGTATCCTTATTTTCTGTTCCGTGGGGCGGGCTGCCTCTGATTTGAAGCGGGAAGGCCGGCCGGCTGGCTGGCTGACCTGATTTGGCTTCCGAGTTTCCTCTGGAAATAGAGCGCGCAAGCGGCCTAGTTTCTTTCATCCTCCCCCCGACTGACTTGCAGACTTGGCTTGCCGGCCCTTTGCTCTTTTTGGGGGCCTACTTGGAACATTTAATTACAACACCGTGGGGCCGTATCGGAACGCAAGAGTGGGTTTCTAAATCCGGAAGAAAGACGGGTATTTTTGCGTGTGGTTCCCCCCTCACCTGTTTATGCCATTTGCAGGCCTTTTTCAATCCATCCCTGGTTGTCTGCGTTTCGATAGTAGCGACGCCTTTAAAATAGCTCTATGTATAGGCGTGAGGCGTATTTATGTATGTTTGCGTAAATTACTTCCGTATACTACGTTTCTCGTAATGGTGGAAGACGAGGCCGGGCTGTGTGGTTTTTCCCCAGATAACCACCAAGGCCTCTACGATTCATTTCCTGCTGTCTTAGTCGGTGGTGTACTTCTTACACTTTTAGATCTCGCCAGGTTGACGGAGGATAAATTATAATAATACAGTTGAGAGTATTATGTTTTGTTTTAATAAACAAGTTATGACTTTCTTCCTTTTGTGTTAGAAAACCTTTAATGTATTAATTTGTTGATTTATTAATACTTTGTTCTAGTAAAAGGGCTGTGATTCAAGTGTTTCCCTTAACAACCTGGAATAGGTATTGTAACAGGGATTTTGATGATGAGAAAATTCTTATTCAGCACCAAAAAGCAAAGCACTTTAAATGCCATATATGTCATAAGAAACTATACACTGGACCCGGTTTAGCTATACACTGTATGCAGGTAAGTCTGTAAAAACACCGTTTTTTGTGTTAACAATCATTCGCTGTGGGTTCTCTTTAAGAAGAAAGGCGGGATAAAAATATTGTAAATAAATAAATTTGTGCTACAAATGAACATAGTGCCATTTCTTAACATTTGTTAAGTAGCATTGGACAGTAAAGCTTTAATGATCTCCTCCAGTATTTGCAAATAGTACTGTCAGATTGTAGAAACAGGTGTTAATAAAGATCTGGTAGCTTGATTCTAATCAATTGATTTGCTGTGTGTTTTTATTTTTTCCCATTTGGAGAATTGCTTTGGTACATTTATGTAAACAAGTCAAAAGGTGGAGGATACATATTCAAAACAACTACAGTAAATAGATTTCTCTTCAAATTCCTTGGATCATACAAAGCAAGACTTGAACATTGCTTCAGTATAAAATGCCTGATGTAAGGCTTTCTGGATAAAATTTTCTTGCTTTTTTGGCCTACGGTGCCAGACATCCCTGTTGCTTGATATATAGAGTTATTTGAGTTTCTGATCTAGATCTAGTTCTTTAAGAGCTTAAAGATGTGTTTGCATGTATAGTTGCAGTCCTGCTTACTTGTAAGTAAATGTTAGTAAGTAGATGACATAATGGAAAATGTTCGACTACTGAACTCTACCAGAATTAGTGAGCTCCTGACTTTAAACCACTGGTTCTTAACCTTGGGTTACTCAGGAGTTTTGGACTGCAACTCCCAGAAGCCTTCACCACCAGCTGTCCTGACGGGTTTCTGGGAGTTGCGGTTCAAAAGCATCCGAGTAACAAAGGTTAAGAACCGCTGCTTTAAACCTCATATTCCTCATTTTGTGATCCACTGTAAATGGTAAAGGTAAAGGTTCCCCTTGACAATTTTTGTCCAGTCATGTTCGGCTCTAGGGGGCGGTGCTCATCCCTGTTTCCAAGCCATAGAGCCAGCGTTTTGTCCGAAGACAATATTCCATGGTCACATGGCCAGTGCGACTTAGACACGGAACGCTGTTACCTTCCCACTGAGGTGGTCCCTATTTATCTACTTGCATTTGCATGCTTTCGAACCGCTAGGTTGGTGGGAGCTGGGACAAGCGACGGGAGCTCACTCCGTTGCGTGGATTTGATCTTACGACTGCTGGTCTTCTGACGCTGCAGCACAGGCTTCTGCGGTTTAGCCCGCAGCGCCACCACATCCCTTGTGTAGAACTTCTCAATAAATATAGAATTGTACTGCAGTGTTAGTAAATAACATTTTTAATGTTTTTAACATGAAACTTTTTAATGTAGGTACATAAAGAAACAATAGATGCAGTTCCAAATGCTATACCTGGAAGAACTGACATTGAACTGGAAATCTATGGAATGGAGGGCATTCCAGAAAAAGACATGGATGAAAGGAGAAGGTTGCTTGAACAAAAAACTCAAGGTAAATTCATATATATATTAACTATTTCAGCATAATAATGCTGTCCAGTTCATAATGTTTTATTGTGAACAACAGAAACAAATTTAAAGATTACAGATAACATTTTTACTGTATTCCTATCTCATTAAAATTGTTTTAAAACTGCAGTGCCTGTTGGGTCACTTGCACTTCTGTCTGTGGTAAATATGGGCACAATGCACACATGAACTTCATACCTGATTGGAGGACGTTAAAGTAGTGTCAGTTATACTGTGTGTTATTGCCGCCCAATGGTTGTATTATAACTTTTTAAGTTATATTATTTGTATATATGATTGATGTTGGACTTTGGAGACCTTGTTTTATTTTACATTTGTGCCTTGATTTCTAGAGTATATTAAGTTTTCACAGAAGGTTGTGGTGCATGCAATTGCTGTCAGACTTTGATATGTTTATTACTGGTTTTCAGTCCTGGGGCTCTCCCCTGTTTTGTATAAAACTTGTCTAATGTGGTGTGATGTGTGAGAAGTTGTTGAGGATGAACATCACAAAAATATGAACATTGCCTAATAGGAATTACAAAACTCCAGAACTATTCAAAATATTTGTGAGAAATAATTAAGAAAACGTTATGTGAGGCACCACTGTATTCAAAATATTTGTGAGAAATAATTAAATGTAGCTGAAATTTCTGGTGTTAAAAAGGATGATTGTGTGCCAAATAAGAGAACATTTTGTGTTCAGTTCAAATTGTAAGTAGAATTATGTCAATATAGAATTGATCTAATACCAAATAATTAATATTAATCTGAATGTAAAAACTTCTTTAGCTGAAAGCCAGAAAAAGAAACAACAAGATGACTCTGATGAATATGATGATGATGAATCTTCAGCTTCAACCTCATTTCAAGCACAACCTGTGCAACCCCAGCAGGGATATATACCACCAATGGCACAACCAGGCTTGCCTCCTGTGCCAGGCGCACCAGGAATACCTCCAGGTATCTGGCTGGCTGTTGAAAACAGAAATACAGTAGTGATATGATTGTTTCATATACTAAGGGGAATCCGTATAGCGGGATACTGTTTACAGTAACCTTATGTTACATTGTTCTATGGCAACAAGTTGCAGCTGACTTGTAGTAATCCTCATAGGGTTTTTGAAGCTTGTGCAATAAGTAAGAAGTGGTTTTACCAGGGCCATCTCCCAGTGAGCCTCGTGGCTGAGCAGGAATTCAGAGTCAGTTCTCTTGAGTTCTAGTGCATCACTGTGATTAGTACTCCATCTTAGACCAGTTTCTGTAATATCAGATTGTTGTGTACAGAATATGCTCATATTACTAGACTGAGGTCTGCAAAACCAGTAATTTTAAAGACAAAGGAGACAAATTGCCCTGAAAAGATAAGAGTAGTAGTGAAATATGAAATCTTCAAAGCTTAGCAAAGTCAGTCCTCTCCTATCTTAGGTTTTTAACAACTAGTCTGGACTGTTGTTCTCATCTTTACTTTTTTAAGTGGGATAATTGTTCTTGGTATCAAAATCAGTTTTTAATTCTTATTTTATGCTAAGGCATGTCCCACTCAGGCAGAAAATTATTTAATAAAGTGACAGGTACCATGCTGATTCTGTTAGCAACAAAATCCTTTCACAACCCAGTAACCCTGTTGTGTTTTCCAAAGAAAGTAACTTGCAGCTTGAAATCCATTTAGCCCTGGTTCAAACTGAGAAAGTGTACAAGGATCAAACTGGTATATGTATTGTCATTAATGAAAGAAGATAGAAACAGTTGGCTGTGCTACATTTAGAGAAGCGGATTACTATGATGTTGTGGATCATGCTAATAAACAGTTGCTCTGTGCTTGGATTTAACATGTGAAAAGTTTATTTGAAGAACTAATTGGTGTTACTACAAATGCTGGTTTGGTCACTTTTCCGTATACTATCAATAAACAAGCATTCTGACTTCCAGGTATACCACCATTAATGGCAGGTGTTCCACCCATGATGCCTGGAATGCCTCCAGTGATGCCTGGAATGCCACCTGGGTAAATATAAGCTGTAGTTAAATACAGTTAGTATGACTTATACTTAAGGAAGCATATGCTATAATTTCACATCTTTGTTAAACCCATGGGAACTTTTTTTAAGTTGCACAACAATTATAGAGTGCTTTTCTAATAATTTCTTAACAATTTAGAAGATATATTTGTTCATTTTGTTTCTACATGTTACATACTCATATGGTAAAACAATGTTGCTAAAGTGCAGAAACTGTTAGGCTCAACAGTAGTTAAAATAGCTTTGCATATATTAACATTTTGGCAGATACTGCATTTCCAGTGATACTGATTATGTATTTCCAATAAAGTTTTGTCTGTTCTTAAGGCCTGTTGCCTTCCCACATCACCTGAAAACCAGCTCCAGAATATTTTTAGCCCTTAAGGCCTTAGGTTAGGATTCTGCAGAAGGAACTGCAGTATGGGCAGGATCACTCTCTTCTCGGTTCTCCTGAATTCCTGCTTCTACTCATTGAATGATCAGATAGGGCTGCCATGGATGGATGGGTATTGAAACCAGGAACTTTTATTTCTGAATTGATGAAATTATTTAAGTAATCTTAATATCTTAAATCAGTAATCTTTATGGCACGCTCAGTTTTCATTCTGCTCTCTTTATTTCATAGGATGATGCCAATGGGTGGCATGATGCCGCCAGGGCCAGGAATCCCACCTCTCATGCCTGGTATGCCACCAGGTAGGTCAGGAATGACGAATCCCTACTGTGGTGAGAGTTACTTAATTATGCTTTTAATCTGGATCTGGGGTTGCTACAATTCTGCACAGAAGGCAAAGTGGCACTTAGGTGCAGTGGTACTGTGCTTTGTTTTATGGCATTTTGTACAATCAGAATCTATTGCTTAATCCAGAGATCGTAGCAAATATATTATTTTAGTACAATTACATACAAATACTTTCCAAATACTTGGATCTACATATAGAGGCTAGAGATGAGGGTATTTGTATACGAATAAGAATATCCCCCACAGGTGCAGATAACAAGGGTCCGGCCCCCTGGGGCCAGACTGACCACTCACAATTCCACTGCTGCTACGGGCTCTGAAATCCTTTCCTATCAGTCCAAAGCTTGCGATGGATTAGCCACTCCTGGCAGAAAGTGGGATGATGAGCCTTTTTGCTGGGTAGAAGAGTGACTAATCCATCGTGAACTCTGGAGTGATAGGAAGGGTTTGCAGAGCCTGTGCAGCGGCGGACAGGTGAGTGGGGGGCCGGACCCTCATTATTGGCATCTGTGAGGGGATATTCATATATACAAATAACCCATCTCTTAATACAGCTTCTAACTGCAAATATTGCAACTCTGTTTATTATGTGTAATTTGGGTGATTGTAATAGACACTCCTACTTTTCACATTCTTTAAAAAAGGCTGTAGATATTTTTCTCTTATATCAGTATATATGGGACAGTCAAGCATATAATGAGCCAAATCCTTGACTGGATTGCCACAAACACACAGTCTGTCTTCAATGGTGATACCTTGAAACCTACTCCATTTCACCATGGTATCCATTTGTTTGAATTGTAAACATGTGTATGCTTTTCTATGCAGCATTTTCATTGGGACTGCTAAATATTTTTCATATTAGTGCAGTTGTTTTACATTGGCCAGCTATTTTATAACTGCTGTAGAAGCAACAGCTGTTATATTGATCTGTGCCCCAATAGCTCTAATAGACTCCTATAGTGCTTTGCCATTAATGGCGCAAAACAAATTTATTGTCGTTAAAAGGACTATTATTAAATAGGCAGTTAGGTTAGGTGGCTCAATTTGGGGGAGAAGGATCTTATTTAAGGGAAATTGGAAAAGAAAATTGAATCACAAGAAAACGAGCCAACAGCAGATAATGAAAAGGACAAAGGAAACTACAAGGTATTGTCTGATAAGCAAGTACAGTAATACCTTGGTTTACGAACGCCTCGGTTAACATGATTTTTGGTTTACGAATGGAAATCTGTTGAAAATAATGGCTCAGTTTAAGATTATTTTCCGCAGTACGAAGGAAGTTTCCCCTGGATACATTGTGCCTGGAAGTTTATAGTGCCGCCCCTGTTCCTATGGCAAACCACATTTTGGTTTACAAATTTTTCACATTATGTAACATTCCGGAGAATGCATTAAATTCGTAAACCGTGGTGTGCCTGTATGTTTAGTTATGGCTGAGATATCCCATGGGTTAAAAAGTAATAAAAATGTACTAGCACCCAAAGTTTTAGTTGCAAATCCCACACCCTTAAACGTTAAATCATGGACTGAAATGAGATAGAGAGGATACTGAACTGACACTGGTGGCAAAAGTGAGAAATGATGAATTCTAAGCAGGAAATGTAGGGTTCCCCATTATGCCGAATGTTAGCACAGTAAACCCACAATTAGAGTTGATTGAAATTATGGAGGAGATGGAGGTGGGTGATAGGGGTGAACAGAGGGAGTTTCAAAGGATTTCAAATTGACTGAGTATACCTCGGGAGCTAGATATGGCTGAACAACCATATGGTGCCCCAATAGCAAATTCTACACGGAGGACCAAAAAGCCCTACATTTCCAAATCAGATTGTTCAAACAAATTAGTAGGTATTGTTTCTTGGAACACAGCGGAGTGGAAGGCGAGAGGAAACAATACGAAGGTGATTTCCTTTTTATCTAAATACTCAATATTAACACTTCATCGAAGCTACCAACTTGAATTTGACCCAACTCCGGGAGGCAGTGGAAGACAGGAGGGCCTGGCGTGCTCTGGTTCATTGGGTCACGAAGAGTCGGACATGACTAAACAACAACAACAACAGTTCAAGAAACATGGCTCCTAGATAAGGAAAACTTAATGGTGCCAGGATTTAAAACTTGGGTAAAACCTGCAGAGAAATTAAATGAGAAAGGTAGAGCCACAGGTGGTTTTGCGGTACTACTGAAGCAAGATCTAGGATGGGAGGGTAGCATTGCTGAGACAATTGCATCAGCTAAAAATGTACTGATAGTTAAGATCAAGACCCAAGAACTGATGATTATCTTGGTAAATGTGTATATTCCACCAATTTCATCCCAGTAGTGAAAATCTGATGTCTGGTTACACCTGGAACTCCTGTTAGAAGAACTGAGTATAAGGTTTCCAAATGCAATGCCTATTTTATTGGGTGATTTTAATACTAGAATTGGAAACACTCTGTCAAAAGTTGCAGAAAAATGTGGGATTCTTGATGATTCTGTGTATTTGAATTATTGGAAATCACAGGATTTAAGGATAAATTGTTCAAGTGTAAACATATTTAGGTTAACATATATGTTTGACCTGCAAATATTAGGAAATAATGATAATAGATCACCATACCCTTATTCTTATTTCTCCCAAAGGTCAGAGAGTATGCTAGATTACGTTTGTGTTCCAAGAGGTTCTGTTAATTTATTTTCTGGTATAACTGTACAGTGGTACCTCCACTTACGACCATAATCAATTCCAGAAGATGGACATACCGTATATGCCGCCGTACTAGGCGACGGGCCGTATTAGACGACCCCCCCCCCCAAAATGCGGCACCGGGAAGAGGCTTGGGGGGCGGCGCCAGGAAGAGGGTGCGCCGCTTCCTTCCCTCCGCCTGCCTGCCTCGAGGAGGAGGAGGAAGAGGGAAAGCGGAGGACGAAGAGGGAAAGGGGGGTTGTGAGCGAGCGCACGCTGCTTCCCTCCCTCTGCCTGCCTGCCTCGAAGAGGAGGAGAAGGAGGAAGAGGGGAAACACGGGTGGCAGGCGGGCGAGCGAACATGCGCCGCTTCCCTCCCTCCATCTGCCTGCCTGCCTGCCTGTGCTCCTCCCAGGTTGCAGGAGGAAGAGGAGGAGGAAGAGGGGAAACGCGGGTGGCGAGTGAACGTGCGCCGCTTCCCTTCCTCCATCCCTCCCTCCCTGGCCAGCACGGCCCCGCATCACTCTTGCGGCGGCGGCTCCTTCCTGGCACCCGGCGTACAAGATGGGCTCCCCAATTGGTGGCATGTTTTGGGGGCCCCAAAACTCGTCTTGTACGCCGGCATATACGGTAACTCAAAATGGTTGTAAGTCAAAGCACCATTTCCCATAGGAGTGCATTGAAATGCAATTAATTCATTCCGGCTGAAGGAAAAAATCACCAAAAAATCACTGCAAGAGTCATTGGAAATGCATTTAATCCCTTCCGTCCGAAAGGGGGAAAAGAAAAGCAATCAAGCGTGCAAAACTCGTTGGAAATGCACAGAAAACAAAGGGGGCAGGTTGGAAATGCAAAGAGAACAAAGGAAAAAGCAAGGGAAGCATGCAGGACCCATTGGAAATGGGGGGGAACCCCCCAAAAGTAACCAGACCCAACAAGACCCATCGCAAATGGGGGGAACCAAAAAACAAACAAACCCCCCAAGATCCATTTGAAATAGGAAAAACACTCCAAAAAAACAACAAAAAACCCCAAGACCCATTGGAAACGGGGAGGGGGGGAGAACCAAAAAACAAACAACCCCCCCCCAATAACCATCAGGGCACAGAAGCATAATCCCCCCAGCTCAAAACCACGCTGCAAAAACACACAGAACAGTTTTTAAAAAGCAGAAAATAGCACCTTACCTTACAAGGCAGCCTGAAACCTCCCTGCAAACACACACACACGCACTCTCAGAAGCAGGAGGAGGCAGTCCCAAGCCTCCTCCAACACACACACTCTAACTGCTGGGGCGAAAGAGCTACAAAGAAGCAGCCTTGTCGCCACCTAAAGTTAGCAGTTTGAATTTTCTGCATTTTTCCCGTGCTTTTTTCTGTTCATAAGTGGAAACTCTGGTCACAAGTAGAAGCAAAATGTTGTGGCCAGACCTGGTCGTAACTCGAAATGGTCGTAAATAGGGATGTTCGTAAGTGGAGAAACTACTGTACATCCTAAGGTGGACAGTGACCATCAACCAATAACAGTGGAAGTAATAGCTAAACAGACCTAAGTAAAGTTTGCCTATGACACCAATGGCTAGCGTAGAATTTAAAAATACAAGGGGCAAAGTAATTGAAATGGCAAACAGCAGAAGTTAAAATTGCAAACTTACGTTTATTGCTCAGAATTAAGAAGTACAATTCTATCCCAGATGTTAATATAAATATAGTTTTGGAAGTGTAACATTGGCTGGGATGCAGAGAAGTGCTTCTGTGGATCTAAGCTGTAGATTTCTTGATATCAAGCATAATTGCATGCCACACCACACTGCATTAATGAAATTTGGTGTCCAATAAAACTCCTAATACAAATGTTAAAGAAGATGGTTACTTGAAGTTAATCATATTCACGAGGGTCTCTTTGCAGTTTTTCCTTTGATCACAGCTATTGACAGTACATTTTCATCTCCTGTTGAGTCAGGATAACAATGCTATAAAGTCACCTAAACTTATGATTCCTCGGGATGTAGTGGCGCTGCGGGTTAAACCGCAGAAGCCTCTGCTGCAAGGTCAGAAGACCAGCAGTCGTAAGATTGAATCCACGCAATGGAATGAGCTCCTGTCGCTTGTCCCAGCTCCTGCCAACCTAGCAATTGAAAAGCATGTAAATGCGAGTAGATAAATAGGTACCATCACAGTGGGAAGGTAACGGCGTTCCGTGTCTAGACGAGCTGGCCACGTGAGAAGGGAAACTGTCTACTGACAAACACTGGCTCTACAACTTGGAGACAGGGCTGAGCACCGCGCCCTAGAGTCGGACACGACTACACTAAATGTCAAGGGGAACCTTTACCTAAATCTATGATTTGGCTGATGTCTTCCTGAGTATTGTTACCATATGTGCAGAGGGTTTTTCCCCCAGTGGCAAAGAAAGAATATAAAAAGAGCCATGCTAGTTCTGCCAGAATTGTCTCCACATAGTGGCCAGTAATTTGCATATAGGGAGTCTGCCAATGAGACATATTGCAACTGCACTTGCTTCTTGAGTTCCTCAGCGACTGGTATACAGAAATGTGTCACTTGGATAATAGCCTTTTTTGCCCAATACCATGATGGTACCAAAATATCTGCATTCATATGTCATGGAAGCATAGAAAAACTTCCAGTTGTGCCATGAAATCTGTATTCTCACCCTATAGGCAAAAACTACAAATTCTTCACCAAATTTGCCTTCATTTTTGCTTATACTTTTAAATCTGTCTAAAACATGAACTGTAAATGCACTACAGACCTGTTTCTAGATGAAACAATAAATTATTTGTAATCATTATTTGCTTGTACTGAAATACTGTTCAGTACCCAAAAACCCTTTTATTTGTCTATGTCTGAATTTACAGTATTTAACTGTAATTTTGTCTTATTTTTGCTTATACAATACATTATTGTGTATATTTTGTTACTTTTGGTTACATTCTTGATTTCAGAATTGGCCACAGTAATTTACAGTGCACCCTATCGGATTACAGTGTCAACATAAGCTTTCAGAATTAATGATGGTCTAATATGTGATTCAAAACATCTGTCCCCAGTAAAATTTAACAAACATTAAGCAAGAAATGTAGTGGAGTAAAAATTTACTGTATTTGTTCTCTCCAAGTAACTGCTAATGAGTAAAGGGATGTGATTGAAAATAGGGCTGAAGCTCATATTTTAAAGCATACAGAAGAATTATTTGTTACACTCTGAACTGGAAGTGTCATCAGACATTGTTACATAGCAACGTCATTCCACACAAGATTACCGCACCACCACCAAAAGTAGTTTTTTAAATAACTTGAATCTTATATACCAAGTTGCTGGCTTATTCCTCTGAAGTATAAACCACTGTGACTATGTATATTCTATTCATACAAAGAACAGAAAAAGAAATTGAGGGGAAGAGAAGAAAGAAGGTACCAGTTCTTCAGATTAGGTAATACCTAGATTGTCCCATTTTTAAATAGGTGTAGCAAAAGATAATTTGTAAAGCAAAACTTCAGTTGTAAAGGGAGCTTAATACGGCGCCATTCTAAAAATCAGAAAAAAAACACTAGCTACTTGTGCCTTACATAAACTTCTCACAAAAAACACTAGCTACTTGTGCCTTACATACATAAACTTCTCATTACTTGATGTTAATAAAGAAATAGGTGATTTGTGTAAAGCATGCTTTCCATGCTCCTTTACTGAAAAAAAAAGTCTTCTGAAGATTTATAGGACAGTCTTTTCCTTACCATCAGACTTACAATCTAAAAAGTACAATACAGTAAGTTCCTTCTAAAAGAAAAGATAGTGAAGAGGAAGCAAATAAGCCCAAATACTTATTGTTAGGTGCAAAGTTTTTATATGAGGTTTCTGATAGTGGCCCTTCTTTAACTGATAAACAAGGTATGACCGGCCAGCCTCATAGTATAAAGTAGGGCAACTTCCTAGTTATCCTTGATCCTCTCTGGATAATGCAGGCAGCTGGAGTCTGCAGCCATAGAAGTAAAAACACTAGGATAAAGGAATGCCTGGAGAAAAGGTTACATGTAGTAGCAATTTAAAAATAGCAACACTAAAATCTTTTATGTTATAGGTATGCCCCCACCTGTTGGTCCTCGCCCAGGTTTGCCTCCGATGACACAAGCACAACCTGTGACTGCACAAGGTGTTCTGAACAGACCTCCAGCTCCTGTTGTTGCAGCACCAACCCCTCAGCCTCCAGTTACTAAACCACTTTTTCCCAGTGCAGGACAAGTATGTGTTGTTGTTTTTTACACTCATAGTCTAAAAATTTTTAGTGTGTTGTTTTCCTTTATTTTCATATGTATATTGGAGTAATTGATTTCAGCATAGGAACATTAGTACACTGAAGTTATTAAGGGACATTGCTTGTTATTTTCTTGTACATCACAGGTGATTTTACTGTACAGTGTATCCTTACCCAAGGTTTTTTATTCATTGTATTTTGGCATGTATTTTATCTTCTGAATGTAAATAATTTTGTCAACCGTATACTCAGAAATTTGTGGGGTGTGGCTCCCCCCTCAAGAAGAGTTGAGCATCATTGTGATCTTTGTTAGCTGATGCTTAGGACTGTGCTCCTATAACCAGCTAGTAGCCATCTTAACATTGTGAAAATTATGAATGCTTGTTCTTGTAAGAACAAATCAAAAAGCACGGAAAAGGGTGTATTCTAAAATCTGTGGTTTTTTAAAGTGAATTTTGTCCTGTCTTTTCCCCCCTATTAATCAAAAATAAACTTTGAGTTATTTGGTAATTCAGGTAGGAGGGAAATTAAGTCCTGTGCAGTTACAACATAAAATTTATAGATGGTTCAACTGGGAGTTGTTAATTTTACAAGAGTGCTTGAAGGTTTCATGTCCTCTAGGTTTTTTTTAAATTCATTGTAAATGAATATGTCTTGTATAATTTGCAAGCATGTTGCAGAATTCTTCTTAATGTATTAATGCATTTTGAACGTCTGCACGGAAATACTCATTTACAAAAATTGATCTGAGATCCTTCCTCATAGTTATTTTTCACTCATTTATTTGGAGACCGTTTACTGTTTCCTTTCTTTTATGCTACAGATGGGGACACCTGTCACAAGCTCAAGTACAGCTTCATCCAATTCAGAACTGTCAGCACCTTCTAAAGCTCTGTTTCCTAGCACAGCACAAGTACGCAGGAAGTTGCAGTTAAAATCACTTTGCTGATTAACCCTTTAGACTGTTATGTACACTTTAAAATGTCTAAACATCTTCAGATAATTATAGATTCCTGATTATGTTTAGCTGATCGCTCCAATTTTAAATTGTTTCAAATTTTTACAAGCCACAAGCAGAATTGAATTAATACAAAAGAAATGAAAAATGCTACATTGTGGTTCTAAAGGGTTAAAAAGAGAGCATGAAAGCAGCTAAGTGCATTTTAGTGGGCAGTGATTTACTTGATGCATGGTTTATTTTTCATAGTTTATGCTGCCAAAGTCTGATGCATCATGATAAATGTAAGGATGTTTTTTTTAAAAAAAAAAATGCATTGTGCTAGATCCCATCCTATAAGTTTTGGTTTGGACTTCAGTAATCAGCTCAAAATACATGCTGTTTGCTTTCCAAAGCATTCTCTCATAAGTCAGACTGGGAGCTTTTTTATGTACACAATTAAAATCTTTCAAGATGTATTCAAATACAGTGGTGCCTTGCTAGACGATTGCCTCATGGGGCGAAAAACCCGCAAGATGATTGTTTTTTGCGATCACTATGGTGCCTCGCAAGACGTTTTTTCTATGACCGTGCTTCACAAGACGTTGTGGGTTTTTTTTTAAGACCAAAGCTTCGCAAGACTTTTTTAATTTTTATTTTTTGAGACTGATGCATAGGGAACCTCTCGACGATTTTTTCACAAGACAACGATTTTCACGGAACGAATTGAAATCGTCTTGCGAGGCACCACTGTACGTTATCCAGTGTCATAGTTCTTAGGAAGTGGGTATAGGTCAGAAATATAAATTACTATTTGAGGTTTGTCACAACATCAGTGTGTTTTTATGCAGAGAATGCTTTTGAACTCATTTGGTGCAATATTAGTGGTATTTTTAAAATTCTATTTTAATTCTGTTTGTATGCTAATGTACCTAATACAGTTCTAAAATAAACTAATACATGTTGGATTAAGTGGCAAAAATACAGTGGTGCCTCGCTTAGCGATCGCTCCATATAGCGGCGAAATAGCTTAGCGACGCTGTTTTTGCGATCACAAGAGCGATCGCTTAGCGATGTTTCCTATTGGGAAAATTCGCTTTGCGATGATCGCGGGGAAGCGATCATCTCAAAGCCCCCATTTTCGGCCAGCTGGTCAGCGGTTTCAAAATGGCCACTGGAAAAACAAAATGGCCACCCGCTGTGTTGCCTCACTTTAGAGGCACCGAAAATGCCCACCGCAATGGAGGATTTTCGCATAAGGTTAGTTTTGAAGCCCATAGGAATGCGTAAAACGTGTTTCAATGCGTTTCTATGGGCTTTTTAAAATCACTTAAGCGATGAAATCGCTTAGCAGCGATTTTTGTTGCATGGATTAACATCGCTAAGCAAGGCACCACTGTACTGTTTTGTGGTAAAACAGATCAGAAGAACATTGTTTTCTGTGAAATGATAAAAAAGCCCATCAACAAATAGATACTACACTTTGTTTTGCTTCTGTTATAGTTCTTGTTTTGGTCAGTCTCTGGTGTGTTGAGCTTTTTTCCCTTCAGTTCACTTTTTTATGTGATAAGGCTGAATTTTTACTTTGGGCTCTGCTAGTAGAGTATACTGATACAAAGTTTAATATTTATTTCAAATAGTGCTGTTTTTATATTTTAATGTTGTATTTTACAGGCTCAGGCAGCTGTTCCAGGGCCAGTTGGTACAGATTTCAAACCTTTGAACAATGCGCCTGCAACTACCACAGAACCCCCCAAACCTACATTCCCTGCTTACACCCAGTCTACAACTTCGACCACTAGTACAACAAACAGTACTGCAGCTAAACCTGCTACTTCTATAACAAGTAAGCCTGCTACCCTTACGACAACCAGCGCAACCAGTAAGTTGATCCATCCAGATGAAGATATATCATTGGTAAGTTAAGCAGGATTTCTGTTTTAGTGTAATTTTTTTATTTCCACAGAAGTTTTTGCATAGCTTATATAGAAGCTCTTCTTCTGTCACTTGCTTCAACATTTTGTCAGTATGACTAAAATGTTGGAATTGATGCATTTTGTACAGTAGTTTTAAACATTTTATGGCTTTCAAAGCCTAGAACTGTTGACATTAAGTCTCACTTTCTTACATTGCTTGTTCTGTATATATATGATAGCATGCAGTTACACTGTCTTTAAATTTCCCTTTAGCTGAATTTAGGAAATATTAATGTAGTTTTACTTTGTTCTGAGCTCATATTTTGTTCAGTCTCGTTAATATAACAAAGAATCTTGTTGAGTTTTCTACATTATAATTAAATACTGTACTGTAGCTTGAATGCTGCTTTTGAACTGTATCAAATCTCATATTGATGAAATTTTGTGCATCTCTTTCATGTATTTTGTAGGAAGAAAGAAGAGCACAGTTGCCTAAATATCAGCGTAATCTCCCTCGACCAGGACAGGCATCCATGGGCAATCCACCTGTTGGACCAATTGGAGGGATGATGCCACCACAGCCAGGAATTCCCCCACAACAACAAGGAATGAGACCACCAATGCCACCTCATGGTAATAAAATACTACCATTAATTTTGTTCTGAATTTTATGAAAGATGTTTACTCGTGCCATTAAGTAACTTCTAAAACCATAGCTAAAGGAAAAGTGGCTTAAAGAAATTTTTTATTTCTTTTCCTTTCAAATGTTTCTTTTACAGGTCAGTATGGTGGTCATCACCAAGGCATGCCAGGATACCTGCCTGGTGGTATGCCTCCATATGGCCAAGGACCCCCAATGGTGCCTCCTTTTCAAGGTGGACCCCCCCGACCACCGATGGGAATGAGACCTCCAGTAATGTCGCAAGGTGGCCGCTACTGATGCTACTGCAAGCGCTCTAATAGGTTTGGAGATTAAACCTTTTCTCATCTTGTGCTGTTAATATAGCCAAGCTTCCATCAATTAAAACTTCGTTGTGACTTTTAGGAAAAAAAACAATTCCACATACAAGGAACTGTTGGACGTTCTTATTTTACATGGGGAAAATTTATTTAGAATATTAAAACAGAACTCTCCCTAATGTTGCAATTTACACTGTATGGCTTCTTTTTCATGTTTCATCTAGGTTTTTAGAAGTGAAGTATAGTAAATATGGTTCGTTAAATTGTGAAGGCGCTGGAATTACATGAACGTACCATCTTAAAGGCAAGTTCTGTAACCTTACGTTGCTGTTCATAAAATGATGCCTTCACAGCACTTCAGGTGCTGTTGGACTTCACGTCCCCAACAATAGTTTGGTGAGGGCTTTAACTGTTACCATCTACTTGTATGCTTAAGTCCGAACGTGTAACAATATTTAGTGTATTTAGAGTTCTCCTGTTGCAGGGTTTATAAAATTTATCCACTAAGTTCATGTGACTTTCTGTATTGTTCAACTTCATTGTAATAAAATTAAAGAAAAAAATTGTCTTTTTATTCATGACCAGCTGTGGACAACTCCCTGAAGGTTTGTACTGATGCACATAATGGTAGCTTGTGGTGTAATAAACACAAATATCCTTATGCTGTTTGATATACTGAGTTATTTAAACAAAAAGTCACTACTTTCTGTTGTAGCTGACTTGTGATCAAGTAGGCATAGACCTGTACATTTATTAACCAGTTGCCAGCAAAAGAATCTGAAGAATATGATGTTAAAAGAACTTTCTTTTTTTTCTGTTTATCAGTGCAGCTTTCTTTATTGCAGCCTCTAGGCTGTCTCATATCTCATTTTATCATCCTATTGGTGTCCTGTGTTTCCAGTTCATTAATGTCTTTCTACTAAGTAAATTTTATTGCAAAGCACATTTCTTGTTCTGGTTTGACTGGACTCTTAGAACCATCCTTGTTTTAAGGTGGGGACCTCAAGCTAGTCTACATCCACTTTCCGCTCTCGTCATTCTGAATCGGTTGCTGAATAGCAAATCAACGCTTCAGTAAATCTGAATTATTCAGCAGGCCTGTTCTGAATGGGACTAACAGGTAGATTTGGCCTACGTTATTTAGTAGCATGATTGTAGTGTACTTATTTGATGAGAATCACCATAAGATCATTAATTTCATTCTGAGCCTGTCCTTGGTTTAGGACATGAAAAAGCATTTCTACTTGTAAATAGCTAAAAACACTGAGGCTGTTGAAGGATATGGGAAGTGAAGAGCAATCTTCAGCTGTCATTTTACCTAGGCTGAATCCCATTTATGAAACTTCACAGGAAATCAAGATTCTTTTTTTCATTGGATTGATAGCAAGTACAGTACTATGAACTGAAGGGAACTGTATGTTTGGGATGTTTTGCCTGAAAAAATTATGTTATTTTCTTTTGTGTTGTATTTATTAGTTCATAGCTTTTTTTAATAGCTTCCGGATACTAGCAAGGCCAAGTATTTGCATGAGAGATGGGAGAAACAAAACACACTTAGGTTTTGTTCTTGCTTCCTCGCTTGATTATGAACGCAAATTCTGTCATTGAAATAAACTCCCCCAACAATTTTTGTTGTTAATGTGTCTATCTGTAAATCTGTGAACTATTACTTAACTAATGTTTTAAACAGCCTGCTTAAGTTCTGTTGCTTGATTCTTGAAAACTAGTTCAGGCTAACCATTTTCTGCTGCTTTCCATACATGCTGTTAAAAATAAATTTCATGTACTTCCAAGTTCAAACATTTTGCTTATGTTCTGCCTGACAGTTGAAATTTAGATTTTATCATCTTCATACCTTTTAGTTCTCACAGATCTCTCCTATTTTCAGAAATTTATTTTGCTAAATAACATGCAGCAGTATCATTTATGCTCTAAATATGCAGCTTTGTTGGTTAGCTGCCCGTTTTCTACAAGATACTCTTAAAATATGTAGTGATATTCTTTGGGTGACTTTACACCTTGTTTTACCAAGTGGCTTATTTTTGCACTTTGGTACAGCTGTCATGCAATTATACATATCAATTGCCTGATCCAAATAACTTGCATGCTCACTTGGGTTAAAATGGTGAGCATGCCTAGAAGGTTTTGTTACTGTTACAGTAGATCCCAGTATTTAAGAGGCAAGCTACTACTCATTTTAGTAGTATTTAATATTATTTTTCTGAAGAATCTATGGCAAAAAAATTAAAATTATTTTTACTTCATTTATCTTTGAGAATTTTTCTGCTTCCGTGCTTCATGTCTCATAAGCCATTAGCAAGTCCTTAACTAGTATCAATGACTTAACATTTTTAAAACAATTATATAGTATTTACTTAGTAGCACATACAGAATTTGTTTAGAAAACTGTTTTGTATAACAGTTTTGTATAGCTTGGTACTGCTCTTTTATATCCCACAGAGGGACCCTAGAGAGTTCTGTGCAGTATGTTTGAATTGCTGTGATTGTTTCACAGTGAAAAAGAGCATTATGACACCAATAGACCATTCCATCTTTTCCCAGACAGAGCTATTCAAATGGGGAAAAGCATCACCCAGTTTTGAACCTTCACTGAAAGAATCTGATTATTTTCTGTAGGTTGAAGAGTGATAAATATTTGAAATCAATATGAGAGCTATAATAGAATTATATTTTTAGAGTCTAATCAAGGTATTTATGGAAGCAAAAATCATAAATTGTTTTTTCATTGTTTTGCTTATTTATTGGTTTCAGAAAAAATGAGGAAACCATGGTTTCCCACTATGAAGTGATCCTCAGTTTTGTGTACATTACATCTCCTCTTGTGTCTAAAAGAAGTAGATCAAAAGTGTCTTCTTCTAATCTTTGAAGTAAGCACAATTTCTTATGATGTCTGAACTTGAGAAGCTAGTTGGCTGATATAAATGAGAACAAGCTTGAATCAAACCATGGTTTCAAATTCTTGCTTCCCAGCAGACCATAGCCTCCTGAATTTTGGCATCAAAGAATCATTTAATTAAAACCAGAATCACAATGTTGCTGTGAAAAAATGTTGGAAGAGTGCATGTAAAGCCACATTTAGATGTCATAGTGGGAAACGTGGTTTACTTTCATTGTGTGAACCCAGCCATAGTAAAAAGTGCAATGGGATATTAACTTTGAAGTATAAATATTCTCACAAACATGTAGTCTGGGCATTTAAAAAAGAGAATATTTTCAACAATTTGTCTTAATAATTGTACTGGTCTAGCTACTTCATAAAGAGTAGTGTGGTGTTCCTGGATAAAAGATGAATTTTTCATGTAATGTTTTTAAAAACTCATTCAGAGTATTCCATTACCTATAGGGGAAACACCAGTTATCTACTGAGTGTTGTATCTATGGTCAAACCATGAGGTGAACACACTAGTTGGATTTCCCCCAAACTTTAACTCTACTTTGGAGATTCCATATATGGTACTATGTGGAGCTAAAATACTGAGACCAAAGCTTTGTTTGATAATTGGGATTTTGTTAATTTTGATTGAATGTATTTTTAACTTAATTGGGTTCTGTTTTTCTAAAATTTAAATTTTTCTTCTTCCTATAGCCCTGCCATAGGACAGGCTGAGGCAGAGTCTCAGTGTTGCCCTGTTCAGTCTGAGGCAAGTGGGATTTATTTTATTCATTCTAGGGGCTTTCACAGCTTTATGGCTGTTGGATATTCATGTCCCCAAACTTGCAGCAAGTTTGGTGAAGGCTCCTATCTTTAATTTAATTTAGGATTTTTATAATCTTTGGATGGGCTCTATATTAATATTGATATGCTGGCTTTGGTGTTTTCAGTTTACTACCTAGGATTAAGAAATCTTCAAATGGGACAAGCATTTGCTGTTCAGTTATTCCACTGTCACCACTCCCTCCAAAATATGGGTCACTGATGCCATCTTTTAATGTTGAAATTACTTGTCTTTAAAATGGTATCATGATTTAAGAAAGTTAAGAGTTTTGTTGCCTGTTTTCAGCATTGTTAAGAAAACATCTGTTTTAAAACTAGTTTATTCCTCTATAGTTGGAATCAATTACATCTGTTTAACCTAAATTTAAGTGAAATAATTTTTATTCGTTTATGATACATAAATATTAATGTAGAGCCTACAGAGTGGAGAAAACTGAAGATGTGAGTTTTGTAAGATGGAAAACTGGGCTTAATGTTCAGTAGGAAACATGAGTCAGAAGCCTATTATTTACAGATGTTGGCATGTGAAATGGCATACATTGCTGCCAGTTAAGAACTGAGTGTTCGTATTCCTTGTCTTATACTGGTCACGTGACGTGGCACACTATGAGGAACACAAGGATTGCCTTCTTAACTAATGTCAGTTTGCTGCTCCAAGTTTATACCTTTTGACTTATTGGCATATATACTGTATTTGCTGACGTATAAGACTATTTTTTTGCCCTGAAAAACATGCCTCCAAGTGGGGGGGTCGTCTTATATGCCGGGTGCACTTCAGTTGGGATAGACATAGCTGCCCATAGTGGCCTTTCGATGCTCGCCCAGTGTCCATAGTAGCCTCCCGATGCCTGCCCACCTCATTCTACATACCGTCCAGTATCGCGTGGTATCCAGCGCGGCCGCGGCAAGCATCAGCAGCGAGACAGGGGTGCCAGCCTTTTCGACATGACCGTCCCGTTCTGCTCGGCGGGAAGCAGCGGCGCTCCCGCCTGCCCCTTGTCTACGCAGAGCTCACACATGCGCACTTGCGCACTAGTGCCAGTCACAGGGAGATGTAGGGGCGGGCCAGAGGCACTGTGGTCATGCTGCGGCCGTACAATGGTGACAATGAATAGCCCCTTTTATTTGGTGTGTGGAAGGTGTGCGGAAGAGGGGGGAGTCTTATACGGTGAGTATATAACAAACTATATTTTGAGTGGAAATGTTGGGGGCTCATCTTATACGCCCAGTCTTATACGCGGGCAAATACGGTATATATAAGTAATAGGATTCTGGAAACTTCTTTTCATCAGCCTGTCTTTAAGAGTAAACAATATTTGTATTGGAGTATAAATAAATACTTGTAGGCTTTTGCTTTTGATTATTTTAATAACAAGCTTCCTGCTTGAGTTTATGTAAAAATATTTTACATGTTTTTTAAAAAAGTAAGATGTAAGACTCTGAGGAATGTTAAGATTTCCAGCCAGACTTCAGCACCTGTGTCTGCACAGCATCAGTGACATTATAAAGTTGCCATCTGAGAAGAAGAGTGCATCACATCTGCATGGTCACCCAGACTCTCTGGTAGACCCATTGAGTTGCCCTTGCAGAGCCTCAAACTGTTTTTAATTTTAAATTTAACAGTTTCTAAAGTTTGGGGATTTGGCATGACAACTTTTCCATAAAGGGAAAACATGAGTAAACTAATGATGATTTCATCTTATCTAGCCATCTCCCTCACAATCATCAAAGTTCTATTCTGTTCTTAAGCTTCAGTTGCTTTTCTGTGATACCTCTAACTCGTGTTTTCATTAAGGACGTTATAGAATGTTTCACACTCTTACTATCATGCCTCAGTAGCGTAGTCAGTTCCCTGTCATTTTTTTTTCACATGCAGAATTTTTCATTTTATGCAGAACATATTATCCTGGCTTATAATTGGAAAGTTCAGTGTGACTGCCTTATATCTGACAATTAATTGCTTTCAAATTACTAGTCAGTGTTGGTGTCAGTGTACCTAACATGTAACCGTGGACAATTAATAGTGAAGATAACTCTGCAAAAGGAATCAAAGCTAATCTTCTGTGCTGTTCAAATGTCTGTGTTAATTCATTGTGTTTCCCCCCCCACTAATATTTAAATATACTGTTTGACTCAAGAGACTTTAAATGGAAGTTATACTCATGGTTACCTGTATATTTAAATGTCCCCGAGAAAATTATTTTCAGAGTGATTTCTTAAGAATGCCTCTACTAGCACCACACAATAAAATGGATGCAAAATTTGTGTCTTAATCTAAGTACATGATTTCAGGTAAATTAATAAATAGGAGAAGAAGCAAAAAAAAAAAAAAAAAAACCAAACTATTGCATTGCATATCCTTTTTGCCCACACTAGGCCTGTGATTTGACACATTACTAACCTGTAGCCATTTTTATGACCTGTGCTTCCAAACAAAAATCATGGTTGTAATGAGAACTGAGAGACATTTTATGTTGAAATGTTGGTGCTATCTATAATAATAGTACAGCCAAAAATTATATAACTATTTGATCCCACTTGTGCAGAGCATATCCAGATGAGTTTTGGAACTTTAATTTGCTATGCTTTTCCTGATTTTGATACTTGAATCTCTAATATAAATTTGCATTCTAACAAAAAGAATGTTTCCACACCTTGAGTAGGTTTCAGTAATAGCATTTTTTGTGGTTCTAGGGATGTTGATTGTCACTCACACAACATGAGAGAGAGAAAGTTATCCAGGAATGAGCTAAATCTTCCCTTTGCACTTCCAAAGACAGGAATTAGTAAACCATTTTAAAACATTTTTAAAATTTGTTTCATTGTTTTGTCCTTGGTGCTAGTGACTGACTTCTCTCTCCGGATTGTTCTCTGCATTTGTCCAGGACAGAG